TTAGGTTAATTTTCCAAATTAAATTCTAAATGATTCAATTTATGTTGCATTTGGCTTTATTGTAGAATATAGATAGAATCTTATCAGTCCAATAATATAATGTTGATAAAGACTTTATGAAAATATAATAATAATTATAGAAATTAAAATTTGCAATTGCGATTTCCCGACATAGTATGTTTATTTTTTAAATATATTATTATATATCTATTTACTTGAATTGTTTATTGATCAAAGTTACCTCTTTATAGATAGATAATATTTTTATTAATATAATATTGAAATGAGATTATTTTTATCTAAGTAATCGACAATTTCATTTTTAGTTGAAATACATTTTATTTGAATCCAGTAATTTTTTAACGAAATAGAAAATATTATACCTGAACCTCAAAAATATTAGAAAAAAAAATAATTCAATTACACATTTCTATAATGTATTCAATGTTATACTAATTAATATTTAGTCGGAATTCTTTTGTATTAATAATGCCTTTTACTTAACCATTGATATAATTAAATTATTTGTTACAATTTCATTATCGTTTATTTTTTCTACAATATTTTTCAAGTCAGTTTTATCTAAATATTATATTGCCTTATTCTTTCCCTCATTTTTGTTTAATACGTACTCCATCTGATTAAAAGGTGCAGAGTATATTATATCGTAACCATATGAAGCTATTGAAAATGGTGTTGATCCAAAATTCTAAATTTTGTAGCAGTTTGGCTTCAATTTATTTTCAAGATATTTAAACACATACTTTTATACGTAATTTCTATTATGACCCGCGCAGATGCTCAACGTGAAGAAATTAAAAAAAAGTGCGATAAACGACAGGAGTAACTATGACTCCCTTAACTCTTAACTTTACACAACTACGCCATGACTTACTCAGCTCCAATGGCACAAGAACAGGAAAGGATGCATTCTGAATATCTTGGAAGGAGTAACTAAAACTAGACAACCAATAATAATACTCTTCTGGGAGGAAGTAATGCGGACATCATCGGATTCAATTACCATGGTCGAAAATTCCATCTATCGAAAAATATAGACGCTGATACAAGTTCGATACACAAATCGGAAAGACAAAGTTGCCACTCATTGTTAGTACCGCAGCTGACTGATGGATTTACAGTATCTCAACTGAGGATCATCTCACCTGTGATCTTAGCAAGAATTCTGGATCTCATTTCATGAAGTTCTGTCTCTGACTACGAGATTCACGATAACGAGATGTCTCTATAAAATACTTGCCACAAGAACACCAATAATAATGCAAATTAATCGAAGGTAACGTGCCTTCAGAGACACTGACAGATGTAGGGATATCTTACTGCTGAGCGTGATCCTAAATTACCACCACAATAGGTTTAGAAATCTATACTTGGTACAGTTAGACCTGGTAACTCACAGCCAGTGTCGCATGAGGCGTTATCCTCTGTAATGCACACTCTGGATTGCTCAACAGAATTCATCAAGTAAGGAAGAAACTGTGGAAAAATGACGAAGTCGTGTGCGATTCTATCTACGAGGAGTGTAAAACAAGGTGACCCACCATCGTCAATTATCTTCGACATGGTAATACACCAGTTGCTGAAGAAACTGTCACCCGATATTGGCTACAGACTGAGAAGTGAACATGTCAGTATAGCTCCCTTCGCAGACGATCTCATTCTCTCCACAGAATTACCAAGTGGGTTGCAGACACTGGTAGATAGAGACACAGGCATCCACATACTTCAAGGAGTGTGGCATAACGTAGTGGTTCCAAGTTTCATTGCAAAAGAAAATTGCTAAAAATAGTACAAGCGATCAAGTACCCAGGTATTAAGTTTAACCCTTTAACTACTGTGAAGTGAAGAAGTGAAGAATTGACTACTGCCTAAAGGCGCTTAGAAATCTTACGCTTGTGATACTGTGTGCACCTGAAGGCGCTTAAAAGTTTCTTTTGCTGTTAAATTTTGAGTATGTACAATAACACAGTAACACATTTAATGCAGAATACGAAGAAATAAATAATGTTATTTTAATGTAGTGGAATATAGTGTTTTGATTATTATTTGATTAGACCGTTCTCGGTGTACATCGTAAATAGACTCCTACCGTATGGTACAGTTGGTGCGTTTCAAAGTCTACCATAGTCAAAGGGTTGAACTTTAAGTTCAAGCCAAGCCTAAATCTCGTCATGTGGTCAGAAGTCAATGACGTCACAATTTAACACCCGATATTCCAACACTGCTCGTGAGGCTCAATGACGGTATAATTATATATATCGTGTCACCTTGTTTGGTTGGTATACAATAGTATTATCTTATGATTAAGAATTTAAGAATTCGAAGAAATCCGTGGATTACAAATCGAACTTCTGTTTCTACAAAGGTTCAAGAGAATTGGACTTCCTTACTGCGATTGCTGATATACCGCTATTTATTATTTGTTTATTTGTATGTTTATTTATTATTTATTAATTTTATAGACATATATATATTTTTAAAAATATACGATTCCATCTAAAAAGATAAAATTGACTTTCATACTTTCTTATATGTTACCTAGAAAAATCATATACATATATCAAATTACATGTCCCCTGATGTTATCCAACTTTTATCTCACAAGGAGACTGCAATCATTATTATAATTGGAATGATTCCGAACAGAACTGAATTAAACATTGAATTAAATGATAAGATTTCAATTGCAAATGTCTTAAAAGTTATTGAGTAGCGACACTTATAATCATATACCTTCACCATCAGGTGAACTAAATTTACCAGCCTATAAAATTTGAACTAAATCGGTGATCCGAAGACTTTGTAATCTCCTTGTCAAACATTTTCTAATATTGTCTGTAATTTCAAAGATATTCAACCGAGTCGATTTAAATGAGACAGCCTGTATAATTGTTATACGCAATTATAACAATATATTATAAAATATGCGGGCACGAGTCGAGGGATGAATTCGGTACCCAAAAATAAGGAAAAATGTTCATGTAAACATATGACCGATATGACCTTGTTTCCAAATTACAACCGTTTTTGAATTAGACTTTTCTATTTCATAAAAATTGTTCGAAATGGGCACCTTCGACTTGAATGCATACCTCTGAACATCTTATCATAGGATTATAGGAAGCCACTGATCTACTGTTTATGCATCTACCATCATTCTGAGAACGTTTTCCAAATAAACCAGTATCCCAAAGTCGTTCATCTTGTCTTTCGAAAGTTTTTCTGTCTGGTAAACGCCTATCAGGGAAAGGTTCTGTTCTTCAATACAAACGTCTTGCTAAAACAATGTTGCATTCAGCAACATCATGCATTAAATGCATGTCTGCCATGTCGGCATTTGAATAAATTTCCATTCTTACGTATCAATACAAATGTAAATATAACTGTCTTTTCACGAGTGCTGTTGTCACGAAGAGAGCGTACTGAATAAATTCAAGCAAATTACTACATAATGTTTACATAACCTATAATCGTACGTAAAATAAGAAACGTTGCTTGTAAATAATTGAAGGAAATAGTAGAGTCATATGATTTATTGAAAAACAAAAACGGCTGTAGCTACAAAACAAGGACATTTGGGTCATATGCTTACACAGGGTGACTCAAAATTCACACGAGAAGTAATTTTGATAGAAAACACAGGTTTTTAATGAAAAATTGTAACTATTGCTGAACAATGAAGATATGTTGGTCTTTCATGTAGCACTCCATTTTTCTTAATCCTAAACTGTCAGCTGTATTTTTCTTCTTTTTCTTTTTTTCGTTGGCAGCACTTTACCACACAAATAGCGCAATATTCAAATCTTGCGTGAATTTTGGGACACCCTATATGAACCTTTTTCTTCCTTTTGAGTTTTGTATACTTCCCTGAAATTAAGTCCACATATTTTGAAACACCCTGTAGAATAACATTAAATAAAAATGTTTTCATTAAGGATAAAAATATTTTTTTTTATTGTGTTCAAAAAATATTAGAAGCTCTTTGTCTTCTTTCAATTCTCGAGTTCACATTTTAGGAAACGATCTTTGGAACCGGATTTCATCCCTTAAACTTGAGTTGTAGTAGCTAAAAAATATATGTATGTATTATCTTTACCTATTGTACAAACTATGTTGCATTTAAAAGAAATCTTTTTTCTAAAAGTATGAAATTGTGGTCCACGAGTTTGTATTTTTACAGGCAAGGAGAAATACATTTTAATAATTTTGAAAATTCTTTATATGTACTATGATAAAAAGCAAGTAATTGACAATATTGACTTCAATTATTTTACACTGATACAATATCTTTATGGATAATTTTTACTGTGTATTCAGTTTCACTCGTCACAGTGTATTGTATATGTATATATTCTTATTATCATTATTACGTCTATACTTCTTGCATTACCGATATCATTTTCTCGACATAAGATGTATTCTGTTGATACAAATCAAACAAGAGATGGTAATAACAGATAAATATACATCGAATTGTGTTTAATATTATATCATATTATATTTTGAACTGCAATTTCTTTTTCTTTTTTTGGATAATGTTAATTTGCGTATATTTCTTTGCAACAGCAGCTATTCTGTTGCTACGTTTATTTTATATTTTTATGTAAAATATTAATTTTCAATAAAATATACTGTAACTGCAAGTTAAGTTAAAATAATTATTTTTAATTCAGCTTTCTGTTAACTGAAACTTAAAATTTTTTAGTTGGAACTTTTAGTTCGAAATTGTATTGAAAACATATTGTTTAAAATTGAAGCCAATGGCTTTTTTTCTATATGTTTCTGCGAAGTTGACGAGGATAATCGCAGAAAACGTAATAACGAAGGTGGATTATTCGAATTGAAGGTTCAAATAGATTTTAGCGAAATTTAACTGATCATGGGTACATAATAGACTTATATAAATCGTACAGCTTCATCGAGTTGTATGATATTTACTGCGAAAATATCTTTTATGTTTTTTATTCAATAACTTGCAGAAAACCGAATATAAAGTTAAAAAATAGCAGAGGCTTATCTCATCAACAAGTTGCAGAATTATATGCCGAATTAGTGGAATTAACGAAACGATTGCAGGGAGAAGTAATGATTTTTGAATTAGCACAGCATGTTCAAAAATATTTGCACGAGAACAATAAACCAAGCTATAGTAGCTTCTATGAAGAAATGGTTTCACGACGCCAAGAAAAAATCGAATATGAAATGTTGGAAAAACAATTAAAAGAAGATAAAGAAAGACAGGTTAGACACGTATATTATATAAAACATATTATAATAAAATGAATAAATGGAAATTAGATCACTATCTATGCTAAAAGAAAAAAAAATTATACAAAGCATAATAACTGAATTATATGAATCAGTGAACATAAATAAACTACTACATATCCAGGATGTTTGACCTGCCAGTCTTATTAAAAAATATAATTTTAGGTAATAAACCTTTCATCTAAGACCTTTCATCAGTTTATGATAAAACAAGTAAAAATTTTGTAATTTTTGTAATTTTTGTATTTTTTCTATTATAGAATCAAGGACTTTCTAAATTGTTGTACTCCCTGTTATACAATTGTAAATCTTTGTGAGTTATTAATTCTTTTCTTTTTCTTTTTTTTTAAGTCTGTTTGGTTATCCCATTTCTTTATTAGTGAATTTTGAAACGTGATAACACACATTTCTCTTTAATATCTTAGTACTTTAATATTAAAGTTAATTAGATTTTACGACTGATACAATATTTTGCTTGTAACATAATTTTCATAACTTTTTATATATTAATCGTTATTGTTATTTGTCAGTAATAAAATAAACAATTTAAAGTTAGGTGTTTCTGCTCTATTTCGTTTGATTCTGAAATATAACACTAGTTCGTATATTTGCAATATGCATTTGGAAAACGATCTATATAAACTTCAACGAACATGTTGAATGGATAATAAACATGTTGATAAATTTATGGGTATGAATAATTATGATTGGTTTGAATATGAATCAGAATATAAATGAAATAAAATAAATTCGATTCATTGAGGTTAATATTTTTTATAGAAAGTGATAAAATTAATGACATAAAAAGAAGTAAAATATATAATAAAATATACTGTTACATAACAGTCACAGTAATGCTGCGTTAGCTGACCGGAATTTTGCTTTGTTAAATGATCGTTTCTGTCTATAATTCTTAGAACTGATTTGGAATGAGTCTGGTGATACGTATCTAGAACGAACAAACATAACAGAGTTCCATTGTATATAATGCAATCTCCCACTACTAAAGCAGATAAAATTTCTAAAAATGAAATAGAAACAATAGAATTGAAATAATATAAAAAATTAATGTTTAATTTTCAATTGTGGAAATCATGTATACATATCAAGTCGAATATGTATAATTTAATATAAATACAAGTGGTGAAATTGATATAATAATAGTAGCAAAAATACAACAGCAATAACATTACAGAAATGATATTATCTTTCTCCTTTTCTGTTATAATAATCTATTATTTGTTTCGCGAACGCTTCGATTTCTAGTTCGATCTTACTCAATTTTCCTAAATTATGTAACAAACTTCCTTTTTCTCCATTCGAGAAGATGATGAATTATTTCCTTCGTACATAACTATTTCCTCAGGAATTAATTCTCTTTTTTCACATCTGGAGATCCACTCTGTCACCTCTTCTGTAAACATCTTTTCGAGAAGATTGTACAATATCGCGTTAAATAATCACGGAATTCTTTGTGCTAATCGCGTCATTAGATGAAAGTGAACGATTGAAAATTTTCATCCGAAAATGAAAGTTGCCCACAATTTTGTGTCGGGTTTTTATATTTCTTTCACATTTAACAACAATGAATGAACATCTTTATTTTAGCGTTTCGGCCAAGAAATAGACCTCAGACTTTACACTATTATTTAGATTTCCCGATCTTCCTTGTCATTTACTTTCTAATCCTTATCTTAACTTAATCTTATTCACTTAACATACTAGTATTCGCATTTAATTGGGATTATGGGTTTATAATTGTAAAATAACTACGATATATATTTTAAATTCTTTTATTACTCAAAGAAGTGTGGATTTGGTTTTATTAGTATGAATGCAATGTGTGAGGTCGAGTAATGGCACGAATGTAGATATATATGTTTTTAGAAGTGCGAGTAGAAGATCTAGAATGCGTGGTGTTGTGTAGTTGCTATGAATCAGAGTTGATATGTCATAAGAAAGTTCAGTTTGTTAAAAGAAGCGTGAGAATGAACAATTACGTTATAAGAGATGTATAATTTATAATATTTTAATAAAATAATAATACGATTTTTAATAATAATACGATTGTTATACAACAAACTCACAGGAAGGTATATCTATCTTTGTGTACTTTTCTAGAGCGACTGATCGACTCGTGAGAGAGCGTCAAGAGGGTACGTGACGCAGTTTGCCTAGACACCCAATTTTTATCTAATGTTAATTCTTTTCTAATATAAACATTCGTTCTCGGAATTTAGGTCTTATAAACGATTTATTCGCATCTTATATCCTAGATTGATTTTTGTGTATAACTGAACTTATCTTTTCAACAATAAGAAAGAAATTGAAATTTTCTAGAACACTATCCATGATAACTGGTCAGATATAGTCTTCAAGCATGGTCAGCTAATGCGGTACTACTATACATATATCACCGCAGTTCAAGCGAAAATACACTAATTATATATGTCTCTCCCATTTTCGTTCCCATTATCAAGGAAATAACGCGATTTTTAAAGTTGTGACTATATCACGTGCACACTACGTCACATCGACGAGTATTTTTGTTATAAGTCCCTTAGAATTATGCGATTGTCCAACAGCATAGGTATACTACGAAAAAAACTATTAATTAATAAAACAGACGCAAAGGGATTATTATTCGACAGTGCTAACCTACGTATTTACTTTCTTCGCGAATATATTGTCCAGAAATGGAAGTTATGAGAATTATACTTAACCTAGCAATGTGGACAAAAAGCTTAGTTCTATGTATAATTTGTTACCTAAATGATTAATTTTTTGAAAACTAGTATCTTTTTTACAATTTTTTGTGTAGTATATGAGATTTAATCTATACTTTACTTTCATAGTAATGAATGAAAGCTGAAGTACCTCCTAACCTCAAATTCGACATTAAAGATTTATATAAACTGACAATTGTACGTGAGAAAATAAGTAAAGAAATATATTATATAAAATAAAATTTGTTGATTGAAGAATATAGATTATGATAATATTGAAGAACATAACCGAATGCTTATTGATTATACGGGTGTTTGGTTATGTTTTAAACTGGTTTTAAACAAATATTATTGTATACGATATTAGACGGGGTAGTATACTGATATTTGAAATTTTCAAATAAATCAGAAGGGAAAGTTGTTTGGCAGTCATTAATATATTACTCCTTGATGCTGTTTGACTTATTTTGAAAGGCAACGAGATAAAGTAATAAGAAGCGAGCACCAACCTGGTTGCGGTTGGTAACCAGCTGCCGCGAAAGATAAGATAAATGCGCAAAATAAATTATCCTATTCTGAAAATTAAAATTTTTGTATTTTTTATAAACCTAGGAAACCTCCAAAAGACATATCAGACGTCAAGGGTAATGGTTCTATAAACTGATACGGAAGACAAAACGAGTCCTGAAGAAATTCCGCCTTGTTGGCAAATTTTCATCCACCAAACCCAGACAGGTATCGTTGATAAGCAATCAGAAATACAGTAAATCCTGAATAAGTGGTCGTAAAACCGGTTTGCTCGCAGTTGCTCTGAAAAATAATTACATAACAATTACAACGCAATTAATATTTCTATGAATTCATCATAATATAATTATTATGATGATCTAAATAGAAAATAAATTCATGAAGAAAGACAAAATTTGATATGTATGAACAAATATGAATAATGGAAATCGTGTCGTTCTCATTCGCATCTTGACGAACATATTGTTCTTTAAAAAAATAATACATACGTTGTGTGATAGATAATTTGATTTGGGATACTGATATTTAATTTAAGAGAAGAAATATCTGGATTGTTATTAACAGCTCAGAAAGCATGGTTATGAGGATATGTGCCATTTGCTTTAATTTAACGCTTTGTCTATTAATTGGGTACTTCAATAATGAAATTAAAAATGGATAAAGACAAATTAATTTTAGTTAGGTCACCTGATTATATCTTACTTTACCATTAAAAGATAGAGTAATAGATTAATTTGTCTTTTCCTAGTTAGTAGGTTTATATTTGAATGGCATAGTACTTAACTTTGTTTATTTACATATTTATTGAAATTTTTTAGCCATGTTAGACAATTTCCTATAAATAATAAATACATCGGCAATTCTTTTGCAATTAATTAATATTTTATGTAAATAAAGTGAGATTTAACTTCGTATCATAAAAAAAAATTTGGCTATCTTACACGTGTCTTTTCAACTAAAATATATAAAAAGTCAAACTAAACTTTTAATATTTAGTTAACTTTTAAAAAATATGGTATGTTTTATTATATTATAATTGTATATGGAAGACATTAAAAAAGTGTAAAACATTTTTTCATAAATTATTCTTTAAAATTTCCAAAATTTATTCTCACCTAAAATATATAAAATATTAATTATAAATCGTACAAAACTAAAGTAGTACCTACTTTAGCATCCATAATTGGAACAATTATATAGAAGTAACTTCTTCAAATTCTGTTGAAAGAAGAGAAAGGGATGAATGTAAATACCCGAAATAATTAATAAAAATCAGTAATAAATTTCATCTAATAATTTATCTCAGTCGGCACGGTTGAAGGTCATTCCAAGGTCCCATTTCCAAGAATAGGTGGGGATAGTAGCAGACACTGAAACAAACACTATTGTATACAGTATGCCCCCTCTAACTTGAGTATTCTAAATATATCGCTTATTTTTTATAATAGAAGGATGTCAGATGCGGGGGGG